ACATGTATAAATATTCAATTTGAGGGGGTGCACATGTGCATTCAAAGTAACCATAACTGTACATATATTTTTCAATGTAATTTCTTGTAGTTGTGAAGAATTAAAAAAAGCTTACAATTATATTTTTCTCGAATTTCCAAAGATACCTTACTTGAAAATTCAATCATACGAGTCTATCTTTAAGATTATTAGAATTTATACTTTCAAAAGCACTTTTCCCACTTTAAATGATAAAAAAAAAAACCCCAGATTATTGTGGATTTTTTTTTTCACATTTTAAAGCATTTCGCAACAATGTATTTTCTTGTGTTTACCTCTCATTAATTATTAATTTTCCACTTGCAGTGGTATTTGAAATCACTTTATGCATTCATTAATAGTTAATCCACATTTATAAGATTATCATTTTCCGGTATTTTTCGAATATAAAATGTTCCAGTGTTATTTTCCACAAAATAATTCAAAAATACATGTATTGTTCTGCTTTCTAAAATCTTTTCCAGCTGCAGTATCGGCTCTGGCTAAGTTTGGAGCTCACTGTGAGGAACTGTTACCTAGCTGTATTTATGAAACTGTGTATGCTTTCGGCATCTCCCTTTTTTATTATCAGGTTCAATTTGCTTGATATGCGAAAGGGCAGGCTTCTATCCTGAAATGTACTGTAATTCCATATCTATGGGAGATTACTGCTTCACAAGTACTAAACATAATTCTTCGGGGATATTTACCATGAAAGGGTAGGTTAGCGTAAAATGATAACATAATCAACAATGCAAATATATTTGAATAATTAACATAAGATTATTTTTACCGAATTCGCTTAAATTGAAAACAAGATGGGTCTTTATGCATTGATACCTTCGCACATTTCTAAACTAGAGACGATGGGTCTTCCGTCCAATATTTGATAAGGTGAAATATGATTTTGACTGAGGTATTCGTTAATACATAATAATTAAAGAAGTTCCTACCTTAAATTTCATTCTGTTGATTTTTATGTAATCCTTAATATCTTTTGGACAAGATATATTTTAAAAATGTTCGAGTTTTGAGAACAAAAAAATTAGGACACTTTATTTTTTTGGTCCCCCTAATTAGGTAAAGTATGGTAAAATTACAGCCTGTCGTTGCACAATTTATAGATGAAATTTTTGATTCAGTAATGTATATCAAACCATTGATCAATTAAGACGTAAAGATTTAAGACTTTCGGCTCGGTTTGGCCCCTAATTTGGGCCCGTTTTGTTTATCTAAAAAGAAAACCTACCGAATGAAGAACACTTTTTGTTCAACAACTATTAAAAATGTATATTCGAGATATACAGAAAAGAAATATTTAGGGGACAGTCTATAAGTACTTAATGGGACCACTTTGCGAAAAATGAAATGTTGCTTGTTTTAAAAACATTTTTGAAATATTTTTTGTTCATTATTGCTTTTCAAAATACTTTTTTTGTTAGGTAACGCATCAAGGATTTCGCATTCTGGTCCCTTATGGCCTCTAGTTACGTAACGTGTGATCAACATTTAGTTGCTGATTGTTAAGATAGACTTTTTTGCTCCAGTAAGGTATTAAAGAACGTTCGATAGAGAGCTAACGATTACAGAGTTTCGGTCCCTCTAGGCTCCAAATATGAGTGATCGATCAGTCCCATTTTCTTCATATTAAATGAAAACTCTAAATCAAGATATTTCTCCTTTTGGAGATATTAAGCGTCAAAGATTTAGCATTCTGGTCCCTTCTGGCCCTAATTACGCAAATAATGATCATTATATTATTATCTTTAGTTGCAAATTATTAAGATGAACATTTTTGTATTAGTTATGTGTAACAAATTAGATTAATCGTAAAAGAAATATAGTTGAAAAAACATTTTGCCCCTCTTTGTTCCTAATTTGAAAGACCGGCTCCTTTTCTTGATATCAAATGAAAGCTGTAATTATTTTGAACACTTTTTTCAACAACTATTCAAATATTCCTCTTCGTTTCGGAGATAAGTAGACAAGAAATATTGAGGGTCCAGCCCTTCAGATCCTGAATTGGACTGGTTTGCGAAAATGTAATTGTAAATGAAGATAAACGTTTTTCCTTTTGTAATGTATTGCAAAATCTTGATCGTTAAGAATTATAAATTAAAGACTTTTGGCCCACTTGGTCCCTAATTTAAAAAGATTCGGCATTCTGGCCCTTTCTTACGGTCGCTGCTATAGGACATGGTATGAAATTTTTCTTATTAATTCTTGGCCACGAAATAAAGTTGTGCTATATAATGCCATTTTTAGCTTAAAACGGGATATTTGTGTAATGAGCAATGAGATTTGATGCTGATACGTAGAACATGTTTCACATGAGAAGTTATACTCCTAACATGCAAAGATTTTGTGTCTTTATTTCATTTTATTTACATTTGCAAATATTTTTCTTAGATGAACCTATAGAAGAGAAAATATGTTCAATTCTGTATGAACTTATTAGGGGGTCAGAGGTCATGGCGTGACCGAATCACACAGCGAGACGATATCTTGTCTACATATTTCTGTCACAGTGACACTGGTTTCGGAACTTCTGAACCGTCAAAGCGATGAAAAAGATAAAATTATTGAAACATATATTTTTTTTTCGTTCAACAAATGATCGTTAGATCTTTCTTCGGTGTGAAGAATGTTTCTAATTAGCCTAAAATCACGCTTACCTTTTTAACCCGAAATTCCTTTGAAGGTATGTAAACTGAAGACGATAGCACCGCTTTTGACTTTATATATAAAGAACTCGTACAATAATAGTAAGATAATTCCCAGTAGCGATCATTGTTTTTTCATTATGAACAGATATTTCCTGAACTGGACTGCTAAACATCAATGTAAGTATTCAAATGTTGGAGCGAGGCGAACTCTCAAGACCAAACAACTTCTAGGTCATTGCGCGTCACAACATAGCAATACGGCGGGCCGTTCGTGTAATAAATGCAGTTCTATTCAGAATATTCGTCTCAAATGTAAATAAAAGTAATAAACAACAATGTTAAAAAGTTCACTGGGAAATGAACTTGGTTGGTACGTGATCAAATCTTCTGAGAAGCCCTTCGGGCTTCACAGGATTTGATCACGTGACCAACCAAGTTCATTTCCCAGAGAACTTTTTAACATTGTTGTTTATTTCTTAAACAACTATGTGATAGGATTCAATAGAAAATGTGAGAAAACAGCAAATAAGCCCTTAAAGTCATTAATGTTCGGGTTGCCTTGACTAATATCAGGAACAAAACTTACGAGAGTTATTATAGTTAAGAAAAATACATAACTTGACTAATATAAAATTGTCCCTGTGTATTATATCATCTAAAAAATCATGAGCTGGGACTCCATGCTGAGTTATGTAGCATGAAGACAAGCTGAAGAGAACACTTTCATTTTGTTTTTATTATTTGGTTAGGATATCATTTTGGATGAAGTATCATTGAACTGCCTTAAACTCAAGAACAGTCAATTGAATCGGCTTGAATGTTTTGTTTTAATTTTGGGCACAGAGCAAAAGAGAGAGTTTATTATTTTTTTTACATTTAGACTATGTTCATAATGCATGTATCAATTCTCAGCTGCTTCTAATATATATGCAAATTAAATATATGGGTATTTATAATTATGTTCATCAGTGCGGGCCAATAACAATAATCTGTGTGTCGTGGGACACACCCTCACTGACTCCATGGCAAATTATCATTTTAACACTATATGTACATATAATTGTGTACATATAATTCTCACGAATTTTATTTCGTGGCCACGAATTTATAAAAAAAAATTCTCATACCATGTCCTATACCAGCCACCGTACTTTCTTGTCCCCTAATTACGTGACTTGTGATCAAAATATTATTACAGGCATCTATATTTGCAAATCGTAAGAATAAACATTTTTGCTTTTGTAACGTATAACAAAATATTGTTTGTTAAAGAGCTAGAGATTAAATTAAAACTGTCGGTTCCTCTTGGCCCCTAAATTGAGGGGTCAGTCCCTTTTCTTGATAGTGTATAAAAGATCTTGTTTTTTTGCATAACTTTTGTTCTATATGTCTAAACAAAATGTTTACCTTTATAAAGATATGAAAGAAAACAGGTAAAATTTTGCGAGATGTTTCTTAGCCATTTTAATACCAACCGAACGATTACGTCGGCCGACACTCTGAAAATCAGAATATCGTCCATACCTCGAGACCGGAGTGATGTCATTAACGAACAAAATTTCCTATCAACATCAGTTGAATATCTATCAGATCTAAAAGTTTTGTGAAAATCGACCGAGCCTTTACTGAGAAATCGCATGCACAAAATCAGGTTGAAGATGACACTTGCTTAAAATATCGACAAAAAGTGAAATCATATGTATTTGTTTTTATATATTTTTGAAAATTTATTACTAGTGTTTTATATTCACACAATCCATTACTTTTATTTCAGGTCAGACGACACGTTCCTCAAAAATATATAATTTTCCCCAAGAATTTGATATTGAAGTTCTCCCTTTAAGAAACTTCCTCACAAAAAATTGAGGTATATTACCAGGCATTTGTGCAAGATTCCAGAGGATGGTATTTCCTATATAATCCTAAAGAATTTTACTTGAATTGTTCAGATCACGATTTTTGGTTGATATATTTTTCCAGAAATTTTAAAAACGGTTTAGAAATCAAAAGATATTAAGAAGATATTGATACTTATAAAAGATGTTGATGTATTACGAAGAAATGCAAAATCAGATATTTGAGGAACGTGTCGTCAGCCCTTAACAGTATCTCTTCCATTTCATCAGATGATTCCCAATTTCGGAAAATTATTCTTTAACAACCAATATTTTACTCTTTGGCCAATTTTTAAAGAAAAATTGTTTTTCCTTTATATGGATCATATCGGTTGTTTAAGAAAAGATTCAGTGTTGAGATTATCTTGTATTTGTTTGCATATGTTAAAGCAGGTGAATACTTATTTAGAGAATTACTTACTTAGGCCTCTTCATGCCAGATGGCACATAAGGCAGCCACACAGTCCCTCCACCCATTCTTATCCTTTGCTTTTGTTTCTATTGCCTTCCATGTCAACACTATCTCTTTCAGCTCATTCTCTGATGTTCTTCGCCATGTTGTTTTTGGCCTGCCCCTTTTTCTCTTTCCATCTGCAGTCCAGTAAATACTTTCTCTGGTGATGTTGTGCTGGTCTTTTCTGAGCACATGGCCGACCCATCTCCACTTCCTTCTTACAATTTCCACTGCAATGTCTTCTTGTCCTGACATCTCTCTGAGGTAGTTGTAAGACACTAATTTTGGCCATCTGATCTTAAATATGGTCCGTAAGCATCGATTCACAAAAATTCTCAGTTTCCTTGCGAGGTCTTTTCGGAGCTTCCAGCATTCTGATCCATATAGTAATACTGATTTTACATTACTATTGAAGATCCTGAGCTTTGTCCTAATGGTCATATAGGAGGAGGTCCAAACTGATTTTAAGATGGCAAATACATGACGGGCTTTGTTGATTCTTGATGTTATGTCCTCGTCAGTACCTCCTGATGTTGTTCCAATGCTGCCCTGGTATGTGAATGTGTCTACATCTTCCAAATTCTCTCCATTTACTTGTACGGGGTTGTTGTTCCGTGCATTGATTCTCATTATTTTGGTCTTGTTTAAGTTGATGTTTAAGCCTAAATATTCTAGATGTTGTATGGAGTTTGGTTGTTTTCTCCTGGATTTGCTGATAGGTGGATGAGATGAGACATAGGTCGTCGGCATAATCCAGGTCATCCAGTTTGTTTACCAATCTTCATCTAATGCCGTTATCCTTATCTCTGGTGGATTCCCTCATGTCCCAGTCTATGGCCACTAAGAAGAGCAGTGGAGATAACATACAGCCCTGTTTCAGTCCCGATGTTACTGGGAACCACTCTGTTTGGGCATTGTCAACCATCACACTACACTGAAATCCTTCATGCAGTACCCTGATGATGTCAATAATCTTCGATGGTAGGCCATACAGTCTCAAGAGCTTCCATAAACTTTCCCGATGCCTTTTCAAAGTCTACAAAGTTAAGGTATAGAGAAGACTGCCATTCTATTGACTGCTCTATGATATTTCGTAATACAAAAATTTGGTCGCAACATGATCTTCCTTGTCTAAACCCTGCTTGCTCCTTTCTCAGTTGTGCATCGACCTGTTGTTTTACTCTCTCTAAAATCACCCTGGTAAACATTTTACTTATTGTGGTTAAAAGTGTGATTAAAAAAGGACTTATTATAAAACTACCAAAAAAAAGGGAGATAAATCAGAGTGCAACATTTAGAGAATAGAGCAACTTAATTTTTTTTTTTAAATATTTGGTATTATTTTCTATTTTATTTTCCATAGTATTTATCACATAATCGATATCAATAAATATCGGAATACAATACATTTACTTTACTCCTAATGCTTTCAATTTAGGTATCCATGGGGCTTTTAGTGCTCTAATCTTAGATTCAACACCAGTTTACCCACTTACCCTTATATAGCCATCCTTAACTTTACCAACCATTGTGTTACTTTTAATCCAAACTGTTTTATTCCATATGAAATTGAATATTAGTCTTTTGATGTTTTTTAATATGATTTTTTCAGGTGTCTCTTAAACACTTGTCATGCACATATTTTGTTATACTAATGAATTTATTACAGTACATTTCCTAAATATTATTAATTTTCTTCTCTTCCGTTGTTAAAATATTTCTCAGATCAGCCACTTCCTCTTTTTGTGAAGCCAACATATACAAGAGCAGCCTAGTGAATCCTGCCTGTAAGACTGGAAACATACCAGAAGGCACGGAATGCATAGACTGCTGTAAACAGTATAACTGTAAACCTGATGACCTTTACTGCAACAAACATATCATACAGGACATCCATATGCCATGTAAGCAGTATTTGATTAAAGTTATTTTTTTTTTTTAAGCAATGACCCTCTGTTCTAAATTTTACATTTTTTAATATTGATTTTTTCATCAACTACTATAGCATTAGGTTCAAACGGAAAATAGTGTTAAGTACTAAGCGGTGCTTACTTTCAGAAATGATTTTATGTTTGACCATGATTTGAAGAAAGTTGACACAGAGAATACGAAGAGCAATAATTTATCATCACACATGAAATTGAAAATATGAAATATTTTATATATTTCATATTTTCAATTTGATGTGTGATAATGAATTATATTAAAATATATTTATTTAGTGAAAAAGATATACTACTAATAAAATTCTTTATATGGTACATGGAACATTACTACAGTTTCAAGGTGTGTTTGTGAAACACTGATACCCCCGTATGGCAGCGTATGGCGAAGGTTTAAGTTTCTGAAATGCAAGTCAAGCTCCAGGTCAAAAGATCAAAAAATGTTGGTACCCAAAGAAATGTCTTGTCTCGAGAAATATACTTGTGAAATATGAAAGCCTTAACACCAATCATTGAAAAGTTATGGCGAAGGTCAAAAGTAAGTAAAACATCAAGGACAAGGCCAAATGGTGCCCAACGGAATGTCTTGTCACAAGTGATACACATGTACGTGAAAAATGAAAGCCCTTGAACCAAACATTCAATATTGCGACCAAGGTTCAAGTTTTTTTTTTGAAGTAGGTCAAAATCCAAGGTCAAGGTCAATGAGCCAAAATGGCTGGTATCCAAAGGCAGGTCTTGTCACAAGAAATACACATGTGAAGTATAAAATCCTTATCACCAATTGTTCAAAAGTTATGACCAAGGTTAAGGTTTTCAAAAGTAGGCCAAACTCAAAGGTCAAGGTCAAACTCCAAGGGTTGAATGTTGTTGGTATCCATAAGAACATCTTGTCACAAGAAATATACATGTGAAGTTTGAAAGCCCTAGCACCATTTGTTCAAAAGTTATGGCCAAGGTTAAAGTTTTTTCCCAAAGTAAGTAAAACCCCAAAGTCAAGGTCAAACGGTCAAATTTGTTGGTATCCAAAGAAAGGTCTTGTCAGAAGAATTACATATGTGAAATATGAAAGCCCTAGCTCCAACTGTTCAAAAATTATGGCCAAGGTTAATTTTTTTTAAAAAATAGGTCAAACTCCTAGGTCAAGGGTCAACGGGTCAAAGTTATTGATATCCGACGAAAGCTCTTGTCTTAAGGATTACACATGTGATGTATGAAAGCCCTAGCTCCAACTGTTCAAAAGTTATGGCCAAGGTTAAATTCGGTAAAATTTTGCAAAACTGGGTCAAACTCCAAGATCAAGGTCAAAAGATCAAATATGAAAGCCATACCTCTAACCAATCAAAAGTTATGGGCAATGTTAAAGTTTTTGTGGTCAAACAAACAGACAGCTAGACGCACTATATACCCCCGAATCTTCGATTACGAGGGCATAAAAAAACAGGTTGCAAATGTTTTTGGTCAATTTTTTTAAAATAATTTTAAAAAACAAATATTGGAAAAAAAAATTAGAAGTCAATGTTTGCGTCTTTAGTTAGATTTGATTGAACTGACTATTTCAAGGTCCCCATTACTAAACTCTGGTAAGATAAACTATTGGACATTTTAGGACTGACCGTGGAAGTTATCTCTCTTATCAGAGGGTTGGTTCCCCTTAAATATATTTTGATGTAAGTCAAATGGTGTATGTGCCATTACATCCAAGGTTCCATGTTATTGCTACCATAAACAGACTAACACTTATAGAACGTATGGATTCTGCTTAGCACAAACGTGTGGCGTTCACTTAAAACCAGATCTAAAAATACTGTATATCTGTGTAAAGAGGAAAAATCTTACTGCTTGATATTTAATTGTGCATATGTGTTGCATTGCATTTCAACAAGTATCTTTTCTTTTGTGCTGAAAAATGATCATATTTAATTAAAAAGAAAGCATTTAAATTATCTTCTTGATAAATACATCTAAACTTCGGCATCTCAAACACTTATATCTCGAATACCATATGGATATGTCGATATAATCTGGATGTCCCAACCACTAATTCTTTAAGTATTTTACCCTTGATATCTCGAAGTTTTTCCTCGGTCCCAACGAGTTCGAGATAACGAGGTCTGATTGTATCATATCATTAAATAGTTACCGTGACTGTGCCGAGAACTACGCCTACCATTCTCACCAGTACTGTCCCAAAAACAACAGGTATGTTACTACCTACTCCATCCCAAGCTAAATCTTCGTAACTACCAAGCAACATCATCAACTCTAGGTACGTTGCTAACTGCTAAAACCTCACCAGTTATAGATATGTAACCATATCACCCATAGATCAAGGTTAGTAACTTTTTTTTATCAATACTGAATCACCAACACCGATTTTTACCTCTGGCTCCATGTACGTACTTAGCCTAAAAATTACTTTCAAATCGAGGTAAGTTACCCTCCCACCAATCACTCTCAGCTTGAGGTACGTAATTAACTTGCAAACATCGGATCTAAGTACAATATTTTATATTTCACTTCCAGCTATACCATCAATATCAACCCCCGTTAACCATCGACATAAGTTCTATTCAAGTTAGATAAATATCCATTCCCAATATGATGAGATTTATAACAATGATATCAATGTCTGTGAAAATAAAGATTGTATTCAATTGAACACAGATACTACAACCCAAAGCACCGTCATTACCACCAAATTACCAACTACAAGTACTGCACGATCCGCCACTCCAATCGTTACCACCACGCATGTCCTGATCACGTGTTCAGGTGAGTAGTAGTACGTTATATCATCATTAGAGATGCTGTTTATAAACAACTCTTAAAAAGACACTTATTTTACAACTACTCGAGTAGGCATCCCTTGCCGAGCTGTTACATCTGCTGCGATTACTTTGTCTTACTCGAATATAAACAAAATAGCATAAAAATAATGGCTTTATAATTTATATTAAAAGCGTCAGTCATAATTTAATTTAAAGAGGTTGTATTTGCAAACAGGGTCATTGTATCGACCATAAATATATCTCCTTCACCACTCTCGTGAAAAAATAAGAGGCTTGGTAGAAAATTTATTATATCGATGTGTCTTTGTAAGGATTCATACATTTGAGGTCAATTTCTCTTTTCGTCCTACAGGTAACAGATCAGTTGTATGTGAAGACGACCCTAAAGCACACTGCGACTCTCTGTCGTCCTTTGGACTTTGTACACATCTACAGTTCAACCCAGATACCGAAGATGTCAAATTATGTCCTCGAACCTGTAACCTGTGTGATAAATGTGAGTTATGCCTAATATGGTACATTATCACTACGTACGCGTGTCAATTATTTTAACGAATAAATAACTATAATAATGTGGCTATGTAAATTGTTGAGAGACCTATAACTCGTATATAACATTTTTTTAAAATATTTGAATTATCTTTTCCTCGCAGACTGTGACCATGTACTTAGAACAACTGTACAACCTGCCACATTTTCTCCTCCTAGTAAGTTTCAATTACTTCAATTATTATGGAAACTGATTCTTTCCTACTTGTATAGATTTAAGTGTAATCTTGAATTCAAAAGGGTTAATTTTTTTGCCCCATTGAAATGGCATAAAATTCGAAGATGACCCGTTAGTCATAATAGGAACAGAATGACCTAATACCAGCTCTGAACTTTAAGTTTATCTAAATTTTTAGCTAGAAAATCTATGCCATATAATCTGTGCCAATTGTTTTTGATTTCCAAGGTTGGAATGTAGGTATCTGTTTTTTAAGTACAACATAAGGGTCTGGATAACAGTGAATGA